GCTCGAGCGAACGAGCGGGACTTCACAACCACTGCGTGGAGGTCATCCAGAGCTCGAGTGCTGAGTACACGGCGTCATACCAACCTCTGATGTGCAAGACATGGGGTACCATTATCATGAGCCACCTGGAGTGGTCGACTTGGTGTGCCTGGGCAAGAGATCGCAACGTGACTGTGCAGGACACAGTCAGCAGGATATCGTCATGAAAGCAGCCACTACCAAAGCTCAGGAGAGCTGAAACTGACGCCGATGCGGATTTCGACCTCGACCTGGACGGCAAGTACGAGTGTTGGGAGTGCCTGAACGATACCGCCAGGACGCACAAAGGGACTGGTCCCGACGGCCAGACTGGCTCGCAGTTGTGCGACGCCAACGCGCCCATCGCGGACGAGCTCAGAGACGGTCCTCTTCCCGAAAGTGCGAAAAGCGTTCGGGCACGGCTAGATTTCGCGACCGACGGTGACCAGCATGACGACCCTCAGCCGCCGACAGAGGAAACTGTATACCCCAGGACGCAACCTGCTCAGGAGGTTGAGTCCGATGCACCACCACCACCACCACCCTCTCCAGACATGCCTGACAGCACAGGCGTCAGAGACGGCAAGATCATGGGACACCTGCGCGGGCTGCGCGCCCGCCTGGGGCCTCGCCGCAACGAGGCCCCCGAGGAGGTTTTCAGGCGCGCAGGCGCCGAGAGCCACATCCTCGACACGGCGTCGAAGTTCGGTTGTGAGGCATGCGAGCGCCGCCAGCGCAAGCCTTCCAGGCGGCGGTTGCGCCGTAGGGCCCTTCTGCGCCAGGCAAGGCATCGAGACTGGCAGCGCCCACCGGACCGACGCTCGCGACGAGCAGGTCTGGACAGGCGCCTACGTCGCCGACGCAGGTGCCAGACTAATCGGCGAAGCCATCAATTCCTAGGGTAGACTCATGAGGCCAGGCAAGGAAATTCCGAGGACGCTGCAGCAGATATGGATGCAGTTCTACGGTCGAACAGCAGGCTCTGGCCCGCCGCGAGCAGCAGCCGCCCGCGCGGGGACCCGCTGTTCAGCTTCATCTGGATGTAGAGTGTCGTCCTGGTCGATCACGTAATTCAAGCGCGCGTTGCCTGCGTAGGAGATCAGAGTGGTCGCCGAAAGCTGCCCCGCAGGGGCCGCGCTGCGTGCCTCGAGCCACCAGCTGTGCTGAGTCGATCGGCGGGCGGTCGAGCTGTTGCGTGCGCCGTGCTGGAATAGATGCACGCGTCCAACCACAAGTGTGACATGCAAGCCGAATGAGCGCAGCTTGTTGGCCATGCGTCTCACCTCTAGATCGTCGAAGACGTTGCTGCCAGACTTCTGCTTGCAGAGACTCTAGTTCCGCTGCTGTATATAGTGCCTAAGCGCGTTTGATCTCGTTATTGAATGCCTTCGGGTCTTTCTGTGCGCGCGCAAACCATCGGCGCGGGTTCCAATATTTCCTGGCGCCGTCGGCGCCATGGGATGCGAGCCACCGGGTCCGGTTCAAGCAGTAACTTCCATGCGCGTGGGATCACAGCAGCCTGGTCCAACAAAAACCAAAACGTGGAATGCGACTCTACGAACCAAATGCTGAAATTGGCCATCTCTTTCGGATAACCAGCAGGGTCCAGACGCGCCGTGCAGCGCGCGGTATCTCGAGGTCCGTGTAGTGGCGTGCGGCTTCCCGATTGTGCTGTCGACCCTGAACAACTCTGTAGGGCTGCGCTCGCGCGGCTTCGCGCTCTTGAAATAGTGCGAGCGGAGCAACCTCCCAAACCTCGACCAAATAGAACAAGACTGGTCGGTGCCATCGGTGGGCAACATCCAAGATCAGATCGCAAATCGCTGTCTCTACCGCAGTGCGGGGCTAGCAGAAATCCGCATTGCAAGTAGCGTCTGCCAGCGAGCTGCCTGGTCTCGATCCGCGCCTGGAACGCGCCGCGAGCGGCAAGCTGTCGGCGGCTGCCGGTGCAGTAAGCGGCGCCAGGAGATGCGGCGAAGCTCCCGGACCATCCAGCGCCGCAGGTTGGTGAATCACGAAGGAGAACAGCGGCAACATGCTGACGAGCAGGTCGCGGCCGTGCTGAACGCAGTCCAAATCGCCATCGATGTCGTCGGTCGCTGGGCGCGGGTCGCTGGGAGCGCCAAGCTTCGCACCGCTGAGTAGAATGCCGATGCAAGGTCAGCGAAGTAAAACGCATATGATCGCCGCTGCTGGTCCGCCACCTTTAGGAAGGTCGACGCGATCTGGACCAGAACTGACTGATCCTTCATCGGCCCGCCACCGCGCGGCGCGGGGCGAAGCAGTTTTCCTATGCGGCGACTCACCTGCTCTCGCGGGAACCGGCGCCAGCACTTGGCTTTTGCACTGTTGAGCAGAATTGAGCGATGACAACCCTGCGAGGCGCAACTGCCAGCCCCTTTCAATAGGTGGTAGACGGCCCCACGCCTCCACCTGCAAAGCTCCTGCTGGCACGCGCTCGCCTCGACAAAAACTGAGTCGCGGTGGCGGCCGAGCCCCCGAGGGAACTGCCGCGAGATGTCTCCGCCGCTGCCGCCCTGCCCCGTGGCCTTGCGCCTCTTCATTTTGAAAACATGCCGCAAATCAGGGAGGGCGACGGGGCCACTGCGGGATCCAGTTCCACAGTTTCAGGGCCATGGCGAAGACGATCGTTGCATTTGCAGCCGGGAAATACATCGCCCATGACTTGCGCATCCTCTATCTCGGCGAAATGATGGATAACCATATCCTCCGCCTCCTCCGTGGACGACGCCGCCGGGCCCTCCTTTGAACGCATCATTGGGTGCCGCCCCGCTTTGCCAGCTCGTCCACCGTAGCACACAAGTAGCTTCACATGGCGCCGCACGTTGTGGCTACCTCCAGCTGCAGCATATGCGCCCATCTGCTTCGCAATGGATTCAAGATGATGCGCCCCCTCAGCCGCCACGGATTCTGGGTGCACAGAACAGCCGAAGCTGGGCCACCGCGATGCACCATGAAAATTCTGGTCCGGATGGAACAGAGGGTCTTCTGCATGGAAAGATAGATTTGCCCAAAATGGTGAATGTGACGAGTGTCGTGAGCCAGCGCCGTGCTCTGGCGACGTTCCTGCGTGGCCGCGCTAGTCCCATCGCGCTTTCCCCGGCGCAGCCCTCGATCTAAGTCATGCGCGACTTGCCGAAGCACGCCTGAGTAGCTGGGCGTGCCGCTGAATTTGCAGGTTCGAGATGATACCTAACATCTGCGCCACAGCGAGGTGGAGCCGTCGAATCCAGCATGGAGGAAAACTTCTCACAGCACTCAGGACCCCGCAGCTTCTGATGATCAAGAGGGGGGCAGCGTCGTGCGCGAGGCGGCGCCTTCGAGCTAGCATACTGCAACTTCGAGTACACTGGGAAGTGATCTTCGCTGTCGAAGCGAGAGTCGGACTCGTAGTCAATCCAGTAAGCCTGCGTAGCCTCGTGAAGCACAACGTTCGTGATGACGCGATCAAGTCTTGACATCGTCTCTGCAGTGGCAACGTGTGCATGGCCGCCTTCATGCTCGAAGAACGACGATGACAAGTAGAGCTCGTTGTCATCCAGTAACTTGCGCAAGATTGCCTCAGGCCCGTCGTTGACCTCGGGCGCGCAATAAAACGGGCGGTAGCTCCCGGCTCCAAGACATCGGGGGACTCACCCGTCAACCTTGGCTTGTCCAATCTTCGCATCGGTATCTCAGAAGACCAAGCTTGGCGACCGCGCGATGAAGTAGCTCCTCCAGACTCCGCCACCAATCCTCATCGTAGATGTTGATGGCTGGCGCGCGGTGCATGAACGACGTAAATGTATTCGACCAGGCCGAACGTACGGAGCCGAACAAAAAGCGCACGTGGATCTGAATGCGCTATTCCAATGTTCGGTATTTGAAATTATTCTCTCCTGTCGGGCCGCGTTCGCAAGGCTTGTCAACGTTGATCTGACGCGTGCAACCAAGGACCTCCGAGTCGCCCGAGTTGAGACACAAGTGGCCGTCCCTGGTCGCTGTCTCCAGTAGCGCTGGCGCCTCCTGCAAACCAGCAGAGATCACGCCTGCCCCCAGAAATTGCGGGCGCGGCAGTTGCCCTCGGAGAGGCCAGCCATCGGGTAAGCCCGGTGCGCGTTGCAAGTTGCCGCCGCCATCTCCACCTCGCAGGAGATCGGCGCTTTGGGCGATATCATAATAATCGAATTGGTAGGTAGAACTTGCCGCCGGCAAGGGTGGCACTGGAAACCTGGCTCCGCAATCCGAGGATGCGCCTCCAAGTCTCGACGCCCGTCGCCACGCAGGGGCGCCCATCGCCGCGCCGAGGCCGGGGGCGGGAGTGGCAATATCCAACCTGGAAGCTGCGCTGGCCGATGATCCCACGCGCAATGCAATCGCGTCCGACACCTCCCTCCGCGGGCGCCCTTCGCGGCCAAAGGCGCGGGCGAGGGTCGCGGCGCGGGTCGGGCGAGTGGCGTCGCGGGCATGGGCTGCTAGCACTGCGACAGGTTATTGCCGCTGCGCTCCCGACGAAGTCCTCGCCGAGGCAGGCTTGCAATCGCGTCAAGCTGCGCTGCAAGTTGTACTGCCCGATGTAAGCCTGCAGTCTCCGTGGCAGCACCGTTGAAGTCGGTGTCGTTGAGCACGCAATCGATGATGTCCACCACGGGGGCGCTGAAACAATCGTCGAACTAGAAGCCGTGGCCGTCGGAGAGCACCGCGGCGCAAGCCCAGGCGGACTCGTCTGGGGCATCGCCCCAGCGCGAGCCGTCGCATAATATCCTGGCAAGAGCGAGCGCTAGCTGAGCATGCTGGCGCAATCTCAGGCTAGCCGCGCCGCGCTGTGCCTGAATTCTACTCATGAGTCCCTCAAACTCCGGACTGAATGACAATGGTATCTCCATGTTGAAGTAGCAAGGAGCTTGGGCACTTAGCTCCTATTTGCGCACATGATGTGCAAGAAGACCCAACTGACTGTCGGGTGAAACCGCGCTTGGCCTCGCCGCCTGAGCAGGCGAGAAAGCCGCGAAGGCGCGATGGGGGCCCTGGCCACTCAGAAGGTCGCGGAGCACTTGCTCGAGCTCCGTCTTGGCGACCGGCAGACACTGCAAAAGCGTCGGCGCACAATTCGCTTATATGTCGCGACTTTTCGTCGGTTGATGCTCCAGGGGGCGAAACTTCACAAAGGCAAATGATCCCTGAACTCGACGGTCAAGAGAGGGCGCCTGCAAGACGTCGGGAATGCTACTTTCCAGAACTGCCGCCCCCGAAACTGACGGTAGCTCCGCACCAGACGCCAGGGGGGCGAAGACCCCGCATCGGCGCCCAAATCCGCTGCAATACGTTCCTCTGAGTGGTCGGCAGCCTCTTCCCCAAGCGAGCTTAAAGTGCCCTCGTCGTCGCAAAGTCTCCTCTGGACACATCCACGCGTGTGCGCGATCCCTCTGCAGTCCCCTTCTTCTAGGATTGCCAGAAGGCCGCCCATCCTTCCGAGCCGGCGGTTTGCGACGTAGGTTTGTCGATCTGCGCCCTCTGCAACTCCAGACGAAGGCCTGGCTCAACAGGAGCAACCAGCAGCACAAGTCCATCGGCCTCCAAGTCCAATCCTGCGGGCGCCGCGCGTTCTGAGCCGCCGTCAGCAGCTCCGTCGCTAGCAAATTAAGGGTAATCTCCGATGAGTCCGACAGCCGCAGTACCAGTCCCAGCGCTGCTAGCCTGGCCGAGGGTCGCCTCGGCGGCCTGAACCTCCGACCCGAACTCTTCCGACCGCGGCGCCCCCGACCCGAGAGTACGAAGCTCCCCCTCGCATTTGTCCAGCGCCGCTTCGCGCGCCAGAGCGCCTCGACGTCTCGGCATTGCCCCCGCGCGCGACCAAATCTTCCACTTCCTCGCGCGCCTGTTCCTCCGCGATGGCGCCCAGCTCCCGCGCTGCCCACTGGCCGAAGAGCCCTGCTGCCGCAATCACCTGCTCCGCCGCAACCGCTCCACCGTCTAGAGTAATGGCCCGTGCTGGGCCTCTGCCGTAAATGGCGGGATTCGCCGTTGATGCTCGAGGTGTCGGCGGCAGTCCGCTCGAAGGTCCAGATGTCCATCCAACGGCGTTTCGAGCCAAACCCAAATAGTTAACTGGAAGCTGTCGCAGCACGCCGACTGGCTGAGGCGGCAGGAACGGGTCAGACACCGCCGCAGCTTCCAGCACGCGCTGGGTTCACAGGCGCTTCGCCGGCAGCGCGGGCTGAAGCAACTTCGCAAGGACTGGTTGAGGACTGGGTTCGAACTCCTGCATCCCCCTTTCCTTCTGAATCTCATCGACCCGCTCAGCTTCTCCTTCGAAAACAAGGACATCGTCCGCTGCGCGTGCGCACGTGGACATCGCATCTGGCGCCTTCCGCCGTCGTGTCGACCGTGGGGTTGAGGGCTGCTTGTGAGACAGCGCGAGTGCCCCTCGTGCGCAACTTCAAATTGCTCCATCTGTTATATTCCCTCTGAGCCGACTGCCCTTGCGCCTCCGCAGTATGCAGTTCGCGCGGGGCGCGGGGGGCGCGGCTGGCGCCCCTTCGACGCGCCAGCATCTATCGGAAGAACTCCTGGCAGAAGGAAAAGGCAAACGCGAGCTCGAGGAGATCTAGGCAGACCTACGTCAGAAGCAGCATAGCAAGCGGGGCGATGGGAAGCCGCGTCGAGCACGTTAAACCTGGAGGCGCAGCAGCAGGGCACATTCATGGAGCAGCAAGTCGGCCCCTGAAAGCACGAGGCTCTGGAAGTAGCGGCCAAGCAGCAACGCTCGGAAACGTTGGTGGCAGGGTCACGCGGAAGGCTCGATTACAGAACGTGAACGCCGGAATGAAGAAGTGGCTTCTGCGATCCACTAGGAGCCAGAGGAACTGGCAAAGTCGAGGCAGCAGCTCGGGCGGCAGATGGTGGCGCGTTAGAAGGGCATCGACCAACTGGGGCATAAGCTTTTTGAATGGGGAACGACATGCCATCAAAGGCTGGTCAACGTCGCGGTTGCGCAGAAGGCGGAGGCAGTGCGCGTCGAGAACGCGAGATTTGCTGTGCTACGATGGAACTAGCAGGGCGCCGTTCCCAAGCTGCAATTGATCGCGCTCGAGCGGCTAGGGCGGCCCAAGAGGCGGAGGAGCGGCGTCGCCCAACGGAAACTGAAGCGCGCCAGCTCGCGCGCGTCATCTGCGGGAGGCTTGGGGCGCGGTCCGCAGAGTCGTTTTGCGCGCTACTGCCGGCGTGCCGCCGCGCGGCGCTCAGCAGCACGCAATACCTAAAGCGCCAACAGCGCGGGCGGCGCAGCTGCTGGAGGAGCATGAAAGAAGGTGGTGGGGGGGGTCCCAAGGCTGTGGATGCACCCCTCGAGCTGCCAGAACTTGCAGTACAAGATCTTCACGTAGCTGGCCTCCGTAGCAGCCCTGCAAAGCAACTCCCATCTTTCCTGCAGTCAGCGTTGAACTTGCCTTGCCCTGCGTCGGTGAACGGCGTGGCGCACCC